CCAGGGTCCATCACATCATGATACCTGTGACACTTACGTTATATTCAAATCATCGGTTACGTGCCTGTGTCAAGAAGATCTGCAAGATCCGGTGGTCTGGAATTGTGTCTTAAAGTTTAATCCTTTCCACCCAACAAAGTGCCTGCCTGACTTATGATAGGCAGGTAAAAATGTATCTTGAAAGAGAGATAGAACAATTTAACCCAAAATGAAGTGTGTATTTTACTGAAAGGGCAACTCACTGCCTCAGACAAAGCTGTTTACTCCTACAAGTGAAAAGAAATTATTTCTTTTCAGTTATGTCTGAAAAACAGAGTAATAAGGCAGTTACCACATAAAACAAAGCAATGGCCAAAGACCTACACTAACGCAAAGTATTTTTTTTTTTTTTGGCCTGCCTTGTTTCAGTTGACCTAATACACCAATTATAACTGATATTTTCATTCTTTGAAAGTATAGACATAAAGATACTCAAGTTTCTCAATGTAAGACCAATTTTTTTATATTTTCCCATTTCTTTTCCATTATCGAACATAATTAGATGTTTAGCAATTCTTAGAATAAGTGGATTTGTGTCAGTGACACAATGTTGCGCTGAATTTCTGAAATATTGAAAACTATACAAATTAATGTCCAACCATGCATTTGCTGAAAAAATATTTTCTAAGGAATAAAAGTGACTGTAATGTTTCATTTTAAGACACTTGTCTATAAACCCATGATCTCCAAACCAAATGACCACGTACTCATATGTGAAACAAAAAGCTTTCATTGTGACTTCAATCTTATTTCATGTTTTTTTTTTTGTTCTTTTTTCACAGGACTCCTTTTCTTCCACCTCTGGGTCTGCTTCCTATTTTCCTCCCTTGTGATTGACAGTCAACCTTCTTGCCCTTAATGGGGCTCAGTCACAGCGTGGAGTCTGAAGCAAAGGTAAAGCCATGAAGGTTATTGAGACAGGTGCATGCTGCTTCATGATATTGCAGGTGAATTTGCATAAGCTTTTTTAGCCTTTTGACTGGCAACATCAGGAGCAGGAAACACTCTGTTCTCTTAGCAATGAATCAGCCAGCCGCCCATCCTGTTTGTCATACGGGGCCATAACATAGGCTGGCATTATTGATGGGGTGGGTTGAGAGTCAGTTTAAAGTTGAATAAATATATTTTCAGGTGGTAGAAATCCTAACGTGCCCCCCGGCTCAGGGGTGAAGGCTAAATTCCCAGGAGGGCAGTCATTTATAACTCCGACTGTGTCTCTTGACCATATATAGATCCACAGCCCAGTGCTTTTCTGACATCATAAAATAGATGACACACATAATAAGAAACTCACTTGGTTTGGCGAGTGGCAGGCAGTGTTTGACTGAAGTTGTGAATGCAAATGGACCCCTCAATTTGTGATGACTTAATATATAAAAAAACAATTTGCACATCCATTTAAAGAGACTTTCTTTTTTGAAGGAAATAAAAAAAAATAACCTCAAAGATGATTTCCCTAAGAAGAGAAACAAGTCTCCAAATGCTTTTCAGAGCTAGTCATTCAAAAACTTAGTCTCAATATTCACCCAGTGATTTTTACCCGAAAAATAAAAAATAAATAGTCTGGATTTATAGAAAACAAACTCCACAAATATCAATCCTATTCTTTATTTGAACATAAAATGTGTTTTTGTATCTTGACAAAAATGCTATTCTGACCAAATGCACATTCATCAACTTTGTTTGTTCTAATTTTATGTTGTTGGAGGGCTTTTTTTTTTTTAAGCTCTGTAACTCAAAAAGAAAAATTCAAAACCCCATCTTCAAAAAGAAATCAAAATGACTAAAGAGAAAACCAGTATGGAAAAAAACCTTTTGTCTAGAAATGTAAATAGACCAACAGGCCCCTGCCCCATGTAGGTCTTCACTGGAGCAATCCTCCCAGGTCCCTCCTCTAACAGAAAGGGGCCTGGACTGCAGGGCTGGCCCGACCTTCCTGATTCAGCCAGCCTCCGTGGTCGGAAAGGAATACTCATGAAATAGAGCCATGTAAGCAGTTTGTGGCCACTTTCATAATTATATAATGTTATGACAATGGGACCGTGAGGGCCCATACCTAGCTCTCAGTAGTTCTGTGTTCTACTGGGGACATTGCAGGGGCCGAGCTTCTCATTTCTTGAGGTCCAATTTTTCTTCCTAATACATTTAAACTATAAAGACTTCTCAGTGCAGGGTAAGTTTGTCCCTAACAAGTGAGTAGTATATTTAGCCTACTAATTAATTTTCTGTATTTTGCCTTAAAAATAGCAGCTAACATTGACTGAAGGTTTATTTGTGCCAGGAGTGATTCTAAGTTCTTTGAGGATATTAGTTTATTTAGCCCTCATTTAAATAATTAAATTCATGAGTCAGATGCTCTTTATTCTCTCCACCTAATAGATGTGGAAACTCAGGTAAAGGTTATGTGACCCCCCATCCAAGTCATGCTTTGTTGCCTCATACTTTAGATTTTTAAACCGGAAATTATTCCATTAATAAAAAGGAAGGTAATACAAAATGATTTTAACAGCTTAATTCTATTTTAAGTAAAACTTTTTATGACCCTCTCCATGGGCCAAGCCTGTCCCAAATGCTCTACACAGATAGTAATTCTTTGAATCTTTGGTCAGGTCCTGAGAGGTAGGGAATATTATTATTCCCATTGGATGGAAAAGGAAATTGAGACACAGAGAGGCTAAGTAGCTTGCCCACTGTCACCCAACTAGTTAGTACAGGGTAGAAATATGGGGCGGTGGGGGAGGATGGATGCATGTGTCAACATTTTTAGAATTATTTTACCTTTGAACAAATTGTCCCATCTTTCTAATTCTTAGCAACCTCATTTATAAAGGGGGGATAAATTCCATGATCTCTAAAGTCCCTCCAAATAATCCTGATTGATTTGAGCCCAAGAATTCCTGCCAAGTCACATGGAGAAAAACCTTGTTCATGCCACCCTGAACACTTAAACACAGATTCCAGCTTTTAAACTGGCTGTGCCTCCTAACACTTCTCTGCAAGTCTCTTAAGTACAGTTTCTGGGAAAGGATTTAGCAGGAAGCTAAGTAGGTAGAAAATATTCTGATGGTCTCCAGAAATGCCAGTTTCAGTTCTGCATCTGCCAACAGGTCCAGATAATCCTCAGAACTCTGTATAAATCCTGGCTCCTCCATTTAGCAGGTGTGTAAGCTGGGCGAGCCCTCCACCATCCTGACCTCAGTATCTTTCTCTGTAAAATGGGGAATATGAGGTTACTTCACTAGAGCTGCCATGAGGGGTAATTGAGATGATATATATAAAGCATGTAGGACAGAACTTGGCCCACAGTAAGTAGTGAGTAGAAATCTAGCATTATTGCAGATCTCTGATACTCTGAAAGGGAAGATTATAAATTACCACCTTCATAATCGCAGAGGATTCTTTCTGAGGTCTGATGAAAGCCTGAGCTCCTCCCAAGGCTTGAAAAACTGAGCTTAGACTTCTTTATCTTCAGGGGAAAACACAAAAAAAAAGACCTAGTCAAATTGCTAAATAGATAAGATAGATTTGATTTGATACTAAGCTAGTTTACCAAAGTTATTTAATTTCTGAGGACCAGAGTCCACAAGATCAATACGAACTACAAGTGTTCAATCTGTTTTATATAAGTAGGCGATCAGTATTGTTAACTCTAGTCAATTGGTTGGACTGAACTTTCTAAGACAAGGGATAAATATTATTTGTAAGGGATAAATATTATTCTCTCCACCTCTCTAGTTAAATTAAGAGGTAGTGGCTTTTTAATTTGCTAAATGCCTTACAGTGCATTTTCTGAGGACTGGAAACAGCATTTTAGAGCACTGGCGCCTGTTTTCCCTTTAAAACAACCCGCCAAACTCTCTCAGTGTATTACCCACTATACAAGATAATGGAGAAGAGAAACTAGGGAAATTACAAATTTAGGGGGGGAAGTATGATAAAACAAATGAGGCCAATGAAATTTAACACTGTCTGGAGGTATCATTACACTTGCTTGTTGCTCTTACTAGTGGAAACTCACTTTTCCTATAGAAGAGCCAAATAAATGAATCCACAGCTTTAGAGTGAGTTGATAAGATTAATTACAGATCCAATCTGGAAATAAATTAGGTCCTTTTAAATTGATTACGGAATGTCACACTAAAATGGTAGTTTACAAAGTATATTCACTTTGCAAGGTTGTATGTACAAATATGATTATACCCAGGACAAAACAAATACCCTGAAATGAAGTAAAGCTTCTAGAGCTGAAGGCAATCCGAGGGACTATATCATCCACCAGAGGCCCAGAGGGATTAAGTTTTTTGCCTAAGGTTATGCAGATAGTAAGTGGATATTCCAGATTTTAGCCAGGCTTTCTTGAGCTCAACTTGAAGGAAGGGTTATTCTTCTACAGCGTGCATGCAGACAACTTATTATAACGATAACAATAATAATTACAATAACCATTTACTGAATACGCAGTCTGAGCCAGGTACTCTGCTCCCCTTTGTACGCATAACTCCTTGCCCACCCCCTCATACCTCCATGAGGTATGTCTAGTTATCCCCATTTGATAGAATGAATGACTGAGACTCAGCATTTGTGACTGTTCAAAGCTACACAGCTAGCAAATGCTGAGAGCTAGGGGCCTAGTCTCACTCCTGAATCTGCTCTCTTTCCACTGGACCCAGTGCTTCATCCTTGGGGACTAACACGACCACATCGTTCACTGGTTTTCCTTTAAAATCAGTATTTGAGCCTCCTACAGTGATAGCCTCATGCCCGAATGGCCAAAAGAAAAGTAATACCACTCTTGAGATTCTCAGCCTTCACATCCAAAGGGAGAGGGCATCAGAAAGGTACGTTGTTTACTGTTCTTGAAAAGTGACTAATTGACTTTTAGTGAAACCAAGTGTAAACTACCTACCAAATTATTAAAACATTACCTTTTTAGCCTATGTAGGCCATGGAGTCAAGGTCATGAACTTAAAATCAAAACCAAGTAAGTAAAAAAAAAAAAAAAATCCAAGAGGATGAAAAGGGGCCATTAATAAGCCTGGTGCTCTGTAGATTAATACTTTGAGGTAAACTTGGAAGTATTACGGAAAATTACTATTTATTTAATGTTTCATTCTATTTGAAAGAGAAACTCCCAAATGTTCAATACTACCCTATATTTAAAAGTTAAAAATATACTGGAAATGGATGGAGTCATGATAGCGTGGAGCATTGGAGGGAGGATAGCTACAATCATATACAGTGACATAGCAAAATATTTTAGATTTACCAGCTGACCTGTTCGATGCTGCATGTGTGTTAGAAGTATCAGTTCCAAGGCAAAATGAAGCGATATTATGTTTAAGTCTTTGTTTGGAAACTTCTTTTATTAAAAAAAGATTTTTAATAACGCTATTTGCAATACAGGAGTGATAATACTCAATAAAGTATTGTGTACTTGGTAGAGTGTACTTAGGAATGTAACAATCCATCTGGATGCTGCCCCTCCCCTTCTCCGTTAGATACCCTAGTAGCAAAATGTAAATACCCTTTTAAAAAATAAAGAGGCCTTTGGGCTGTTGGGAGCAGAGTAGGGGCGGGGCAAGGAAAGTGCTCTTCCCTGACACACTCTTGCTTCTGGCTTTGACTTCCTTCAGTAAGGTCAGTTCTCAAGGAACTCAGACAAACCCTTCTATGCTCCACAAAAGCACAGGAGAAGGAAAGCTTGTCATTCACAAGCAGCTAGGGACAAAACCAGTGGCAGAGGACAGGGTTGGGTTAAATGACCCCATTTGGGGGGGGGGCGGGGGGCAGTTGGAGTAAAGTGCAGTTACTCTCAAAAAAATATATATTATTTTGATCCTAAGAAAATTAAGAGAGTTTTATCTAATGAACTAGATTGCTGACCTTTTAATACATTTGGTTTTCATGGAACATACAATCACCATCGGACATAAAAGACCAGTTTGCTGTTTTAAAAAATAATAATAATTGCTTGGAGTTATCTACAGGAATCTTGTGAACGCAATTCAAGGATAACATTCCGCAGCTCTTTGGGTGTTGGATGGTTTCCTCGGGTACGTCCACGAGGAACCCGGGAAAGGTTAAACTCGCCGATTCAAGCGGGCGGTTGCCCAACTCTGGCTCCTTCCCGCGCTCTCGCTGCTTGTCTCCCTAAATGCCAGTGCTTTCCAGGTCTCCGTCCTCGACCGCCACGGCGCGGGAGCGGGAGATCATGAAAAGTTTCTCCTTGTTTGTAAAGTGCCTCTGCGCGGGCGGAGGTGGCTGCGCCGCGGGGCGCCCCCGGCCCGGGCCCTCCTCGGGGCCCTCCCCGGGGCTCTGCGGCGCGCCCGGGGCCGCGGCGGCCTCGCAGTCTGCGCTCCGACGGGCCGCCGCTCGCGGGGCCGACTCCGCAGAGGGGCCGGCCTCCGGCGGGGCGGCGGGGCCCTTCTGGCTCGGCGAGGCCGGCCCGGCGGGGGGCGGGGAGCGGGAGGCAGCTCGCGCCAGAGGGCTCGAGTCCAGCTCCGCGCCGTGCGGGGCGGGGGGCGGCTCGGGGGTCGGCGGCGCCCGGTAGTCCGGGAGCCCGCTGGTGCTGCGGCGCCGCAGGGCCGCGTACCTGCCGGTCCTGGGCAGGCGGCCGCCCTGCCCCCTGGCGGCGCGCGCCGCCGCCGCCGCCGCCGCCGCCGCGCCCTCGGGCTCCCCCAGCTCTCCGGGCGCCCAGCGCGTGCCGCCCGGGCCGCCGCGGAGGTCGGTGAGGCTCAGGTCGAGCTCGCCCCGCGGGATCTCCCGAGAGCCACGTTCCCCGGGCGGCCTGTGCCAGCCGCAGCTCGCGCCCTCCCCGCCCGCGTCGGCGTCCGCGTCCCCGTCCGCGTCCCCGTCGCGGTCCCCGTGCAAGGGTAGGAGCGCGAAGGCGCTCAGCGAGGAGTCCACGAGGGAGCTGGCGGTGCTCTGGCGCCCCCAGCTCTCGGGTGGGCTGCAGGGCGCCGGGCTGCCGCCCCTGCTGGCGGGCGCGGCGGCGGCGGCGGCGGCGGCGGCCCGGCGACGGCCGGCCGCGCCCGAGCGCTCGCGGTAGATGCTGTACACCGCCTCCGCCAGGCTCGGGGGCTCCCGCGGGCAGCGCGGGGACGAGGCCAGGTCGGGCGGGGACGCGGCGCCCTTGGCCCCCCCGCCGCCGCCGCCGCCGCCCACCGGGCCCGGGGGGAGCCACGAGCCCCGGGCCAGCACCGCCGCCGCCCCGAAGGCGTCCCCCGCGCCGCCGCCGCCCCCGGGCTTCAGCTCCAGGCCCCGCGACTGCACGTAGCTGAGGAAGCCGTTGAGCGGCGGGGCTCCGGGGGGCGCCGCGGCGGGGGCGGGGGCGGGGGCGGGGGCCGCGGCGGCGGCGGCGGCGGCGGCGGCCAGGTCTTTGGCGCGGAGGCTGTGCACGTCGATGACGGTGGAGTAGAGGTCCCGCAGGTTGATGATCTTGGTCTTCCTGTCCCGGTTCTCGTGCAGCACCGCGTTGGCGCAGATGAAGAGGAAGATGCCGATGCCCATGATGAGGGGCCCGAAGACCTTGAGCTTGTCGGAGTGCAGGTACCCCGAGAAGAGGCGGAAGAAGAGACCCACAGACGGGGACGAGGCCGCAGGGGCGGCGGACCGCGCGGGCGGCGTGCTTCGGGGCGGGGGCGCGCCCGCCAAACTAGAGTTGACGCCCCCCCGAGCCCCCAGGGGGCTCCCGGACCGGTTTCGGCTGCCACCGCTGCTGCTGCTGCTGTTGGCCACGGTGGGGACGCGGTGGCCGCCGGCTGCGGGCGGCAGCTGCTTAGCCCCGTCCCTGCCGGTCCCGTTGGCTTTGGGCCAGTAGCCCACCACCGCCATGGCTATGCCCACGAGCAGCACCAGGATCCCGCAGAGGGCGATGAGCCCCGAGATGGAGCACAGCTTTAGCTTGCCTTTCACCACCACCACATCGTTCTTGCGCCTTCTCTTGGCTTTCCGCTTGCGCTTGGGGACCTGGCTTGGGGGGCGGAGGGGATCCTGCTTTCGGGCGGAAATCCTCAGGAGGCCGCCGGTGGCGATCATGGTGAGCCGGGGCCGCGCGGGGCTAGTCTCCGGGGCGGAGGCTTGCGTAGTGGGGGCGCCAGCTGCCCACTAGCTGCTCCGCCACCTCCTCCTGCTGCAAAGCAGAGGAAGACAGTCAGAGGGTAGAGGCTTGGCTGCAGCAACATCCCACGCTCTGCAACCGTCCCGCTCCCAGGTCCCACCACAGGGGTACCCCCCACTCCAGGGCCACCCACTCAGTGGGGTGCCGGATGTAGAGACCAGGGGGTGGGGTGGCTGGATTAGGGCCGAGAAACGCTGTTGCAGTCATTGACAGGAGGTGATAGAACAATCTCAGAGAACGCCTTCTTTTCTTCCCCACCCCCCTCATCCCACACACTCTGTAGGTGATATTCCAGCGTCTCTCATCTCAACACCCCCCCCCCGCCCCAACGCTGGTAGCTGAAGAAGTGCTGAAGAAGTGCTGACCATTAGTAGAAACCAAATGTGGGGACTCAGAGCGGTGGTTGAGGACTTTCCTGGCAAAAGCCTCTCCCTTTGTCCTGTGGGAATCAGAAGCTTGCCACGGGAGCTGTACAGGAGGCTCAAGGCTCTCAGCAGAGGAATTTGTTAATGTTTAGCCCAAAGTCACTAAAACAGTCACAAAAGTTATTATTTTATAAAGACAAAGGCAATTTTCATCACTGGATGAAAATTAAAGGTCACATACTGGCAGGCAGACGACTTACTGCAGATAATAAAGAGTTCATTTTGGGGACAACACTAGAACGACGTCACTCTTCTGACAATAAATCCCTCCATAAAGTTGTTTCCCACCGCTTGCTGTTTCTACAGCTACAGGCAAGCAGCCTTTTCCTCATCTCTTTTTTTGCAACATCTGGACAGCTTCTTGGGGTGGAATATTTAGTTTTAGGTAACTGGTTATGTAACTGAGCTCTTCCTTCTGGCCTCCTCTCCTCCCCCAGAGGAACTCCCTTAAAGGTATCATGTGCTAAATCTCATCAGAGACTTTGAGAAGTCCCTTAGAATATTCTAAGATCTTTTTTTTTTCTCCTGTGGGAAAATTACAATCTTAAAAAGAAAAAAAAAAAACAGCCACTCTCCCATAATAGCTTTCTGACCCCTTTTTAATGTGCCAACAGCACTCTTCAGAATCCTAATATTCAAATGAGTAGGCATTTAGCTAGGTATAGCAGTCTACATAATAATGATGATTTGTTGAATGACATCCCCACAAGTGAGAGCTTGTTTTTTCTTCATCTTTCTCACATGAGGTCATTTTTAGGAAGGTAGGGTGGCAACAATCAATGGACTATCCTATAGGAAGTTTAGTCGTTTATAATACAGCCCGGGTAGGTAAATGCACAGATGTATCTTTGTGGATAGCTGTGAGCTTCTAAAAATTTCAATCCTGCTGGATCCCCAGAGTAAAACATTTTCTGTTCCATTGGTTGTGTTCCCTCCTATAACAGAGATGCTAAAATTGAGGCATTGTATGAATTTGAAAGGCTCTGATATCACTCACAAGCCTTTTGGTATTTTATCCTTTATGAAATAATTCATGTTTTAGAATAAATTACCCTTTGAAAATGTGGGATTACTTAGGAAGAATTTTGCTTTTAATTGGTGCCTGGGTAAAGAGCTTTGGCCCTTGATCCCTCCATTATGTCAATCTAGGCAGAATCTTTTCTCCACTGGTGGAAAAGCAAACGGTAATCAGCTCTTTACAATGTTTGCAAACTAATGTCTCCTTGGAACTTAGTTGGTTTGCAGTGAAGAGAAATACTAGGTAGTTTTGGGAGGGGTTGGTAGAGAGAATACATCTATACGCCTTTAAAATTTTGTTTTAAGGAGAGGCTGCACCAGTAAGTACAGATTGTAAAAAAAAAAAAAAAAGAGTAGCTACTGTTCATCTGTCACCCCCCAAAATAAGCACATTTATTGTGCAGTTGTAACATAGAGACTGCTGTTTTAAGTGATCCCTAGACTACAGCATCTTTAATGCAATAATCTGGAGATCTGCGGTTATTTTGAGGATTTAAGAGCCGGACATTTTAGAAACAAAGCTAGGCTCAGTTGGCGGGGTGGCTCTCCCAGAGGTTAGGGAAGGGCTAGCATTTGGCTGGGCATTGATCAGGTGCAGCAGGAGGCTGAGCATTTTTGAGAAGGAAGATACCCACTTGTATTTCTCTTAGATAAGGCAGCCTTGGCTCCGGGTAGCAAGACTGACTGTAAGGAGAATTGGAATGGGTTTCAACAATCGTTAATAGACCTTTAAAATTAGTCTAATAGCTAGTAATTAACTCCCTACTCTATCATTCCTTCAGCTCCGCTCAAGGCTGAACTCCTTCGTAACGTACTGCCATCTGACCTGAAATACTGACAGCTGTCAGATGGCCAGGAAGACCCACCTTTGGAGGCTTTTCTTCATGCATAATGAAGGGAGGCAAACTTAGCAGGCGAGGTTGGCTGCCCTCGCAATTTACTGCCTGGTGCTGGCCTTTCCGTGGTTAAGGAGTGGAGGACGGGGCGGGGGGCGGGGAGCAAAGGAGGGATGTCTAAAAATACAACCGCTTCCAAGAGAGACATTCAAGTTCTCGGCTCATGATGGATTCAGCCCCACTCTGCGTCTGGGGCTCCCTGCCTGTGGGCTGGGAGCGCCCCGGCCAGGCCAGCCCGGGACTCGGCCCAGGTCCCGGCCCCCCGCGAGCCCCCGGCCCCGCTACCTGGGCTGCTTATCTATGTCGGAGCCACAGGAGTGCAGCAGCCGGGAGTCCGCCTCGGGAAGGAGAACGCGGGCAGGAGCGACGTGCGGGCAGTCCCGAGCTCGCTTTCTCCGGGCAGCGCCGCCGGGGCAGCCCGCCCGGGATGGGGCCTCCCCCGCCCCCGCAGCGCGGCCGGGCCGACCCGAGGCTCGGGCCCAGGGTGGGCAGGGCGGGCTCGGGGCCCAGGGCTCGCCGAACTGCTCAAAATGGCAGCAGCGCGAGCCGGCGGTACCGCTCACTTACCCGGCAAGGCTGGGGCAGCTCGCGGCCGGCGCTCGGGCGCTCGGGCGCCACAAAGGAACCATGGAGAAACTTTTCTCAGCCCGAGCCGACGGCGGCGCGCAGGGACCGCGCCTCGGGGCCTCCGCCCAACGCGGCTCAGCAGCCCGGCGGGGGCAGGCGGCCGCCCCGGGTTCGCGGCCCCCTCCGCTGCCGAGGCGGGAGCCATTTCCAAGAGTTTCCAAGAAGTGTCAGGTCCTCCGCGGCCCGCATCCTGCCCGGGAGCCGTCCCCGCCGCCGCCGCTCCTCCCGCGCCTCCCCGCGAGCCCAGCCGCGGCGCTCCCGGGCCGCCCCAGCGCCTCTTGTGTGCGGCTGCGGCGCGCCGGGCTCCGCCGGGTGGAGTTGAGCCCGCGGCGGCGGCGGGGACGGCGGGGACGGCGGGGACGGCGGGGACGGCGGCGGCGGCGGCGGCGGCGGCTGGCGCGGCTCGGGGCGGCCGGACTCGCGGCGGTTGCTAAGAGACCGGAGCCATGACACAGGGAAATGCGGCAGGATGGCAGTCGGTACCCGGCCCGGCTGGGCGGCTCGGGGCGCCCCCGCCCCCGCCCCGCCCCCCGCCGCCGGCCCCCGCCCCCGCCCCCGCCCCCGCCGCCGCCGCCGCCGCCGCCGCCGCCTCCGCACCCGCCGCCCGGCCTTCGGGGGAGCCGCCTCCCGGAGCGCCGCGAGGCGCGGGAGGAGGCGGGAGGGGCGGGGGCGCGGGGCGGGGAGCGCGGGGCGCGCGGGCCCTCGGCCTCCTCCGCCCCCGGGCGCCCCGGGACCGCCGCCCGCCGCCCGCCGCCCGCCTCGGCCCGGAGCTTTGTTCTTTTCCCTCCAACTACCTGTCTGAACCGCGGCGGAGGGCGCCCCGGGCGGGGCCGTGCCTCCCGGAGGGTCTCCCCGCCGGCGTCCGAGGGGCGCTCGGGGCCCGGGGAGCGCAGCGCGCGCCTCCCGCCTCCCGCCCTCCCGCCTCCCGCCCTCGCGCCCCCCGCCCTCGCGCCCTCCTCTCCTCGCCCTGCCCTCTCCTCTTTTGTTGCCTCTGCTCTCGGACACGACCCGGCCAGGGCTATTTCTCCCCCCCCCCCCCCGCTCGGGAGTTTGCGGTGTGGACGCACAGCCAGCGCGGTAAGTTGTCCCCCGGCGAACTCGGGCGGCCGGAGCGGAGCCGCCCCCCTCCCCGGCTGGGTGCCCCGCGGGCCCGGGCAGAGGCCCCCGCGCCCCAGCCGAGCCCGGCGCTGGGACCCGCCCCCTCGGGAGGGACCGCGGGGCTTAGGCCGGCTCGGGGTGCTTCCCGGGCCGCCCCTCCTGCCCCCACCCCGTGCGGTGACCAGCGAGCATTGAAAAGGAAAAACTCTACTTCTCGGGGAATGGGGCTAGGACGGAGGCGGGGGGTAGGGAGGATACCCAAACTCCCTACGTCATCTTAAAAAGGAGAGAGGGAGAGAGGGAGAGATCCTGTTTCCTAGCTCCGCTCTGTCCTCTCGACTGCAAAGTAAAAACGACAGGAGTATTGAAAAAGTAAGAAAGATTGTAATTATCTACCGAAGTGAGGCAACCAGGATTCGGAGAGAAAGCAAGAGAAGAGGAGGCAACAGAAAGTGCTGTCCGAACTTTGGGGTCCAGACAGAAAGCTGCTGCTGGTGGTGGTGGTGGTGGTGGTGGTGCTGGTGGTGGTGGTGCTGGTGGTGGTGGTGCTGGTGGTGCTGGTGGTGGTGCTGGTGCTGGTGGTGCTGGTGGTGGTGGTGGTGGTGGTGCTGGTGGTGGTGGTGCTGGTGGTGGTGGTGCTGGTGGTGGTGGTGCTGGTGGTGGTGGTGGTGCTGGTGGTGGTGGTGCTGGTGGTGGTGGTGGTGGTGCTGGTGGTGGTGGTGCGCCGTGGGTGTTATACATGCTGAGTTTTGCTGTTCAGGGATCCACAGAACCCACACAGGAGGGCTTTGCTGGCCACAGTTCCACTTACAAATTTGTTCCTCCTTAATGTACACAGCCTTCGCTTGTGTTTAAAGCACAGGCACCTGCCTTTCAAAAAGAACAATAAGGACACAAACCTTTACAGGTTCAGTGATATGTGGACCTTCTAATAGGAAGGGTGGGGTGGAGATGTTTGGGGAAGTGGAAGGGGATGAAGGAGAGATGTTTCCTGAAAGGAAACGCTGCACCTGCCTGTTGGAAAGGATGACCTCTGTCACCCTTTCCAAGCAAATAATGAATCTGGATGATGATCAGGGTGTTCAGAACCCACCTCTTTCCACCTCTCTGTCCCTGCTCAGATTTCACTAGAAAACAAGCCATATAAAGGGAAAGTTTCAAATTACACATTGGAGTGTTTTCTTTTAGAGAAATCATTGCAAAGGAGAAATAACTAGGTCTAGCTGTCATCTGTAAAGGGTTTGTTTGTTTGTTTGTTTGTGTTTTGCCCCCAAGCTTCCAGATTCCTTGAATCTCAATAATAATCTGGTATTTTGTGCAAAGACAGGGTCTGAGATCTCATTTCATTACACAGCTGGCTGCCAGGGGCCATGGATGGCAGCTCCTCTCCTCTGTGGGCCTCTGTTTGCCAAGCTGTATTAAGAGAATAATATTGCAGAACTTCATTAGGATTTTAGAGGGATTAAGTCATTAGCAGTTTCTAATTTCCGTATAAATTATAGTCATCATTTGCACATTTAAAACTCACTTAAGGGATCGGAAGAAGAAAGGAATCCTTTTCTAGACAAATAGGCCTTGGACATAGCCAGTTTTTCTTATGGTGATGACCGCAATAAGATTTATGGTTTATTACTTAGAGGCTTCCTTCCAAACTGAGCTCTTTGGAACTCCGAACTGTTCTATTTAACCTGAGTGTTACTACCCTCAGTAATTTTGTTTTTAGGTCAGGGTATCAGAGGAAATCAGACAGATCCCATCTGTTTCCAGCGGAGTCCTTTATTGTCTCTGTAATAATATAGTATCAACATACATTCCTAGGGGTTTCTGAGTTGTGTGGAGTTATCTTATTTGGCCCCCCTGGAATTATTTTCCTTCTGAGTTTACCAGCCATTTCAGTTGAGATGATTTCTGGGATTGTGGGATACCTCCTGTCACCCTGGCTAAGACCAGCTAATCGTGATGATTCATTAGTGTCTCAAGAACTCGGAGCTCAGGACAACATACTGTAGCAGGAGAGCAATGAAGGCCTTGGGGGGAAAAGATGAGCTTCCTTTAGTTGGACTAAACTGACCTGAAACCTTTCATTTGCTCTTTCTTAAAAACAATCCTTATGTAATTTTTTTCAGTTTCATAATTTATTCACAACCCATTTGCTTCCTCTGATCTTTTCATCAACCTGGCCTGGCTCCCCAGCCTGGGCTCCCAGCACTGCTCCAGAGGAGCCCGTGGCAGGCCATGGGTCCACCCAGGCCCCTTTTGGTCTCCAGGAGTGGGCAGGGAGAAGAGTTTGGCTTATTTCAACAGCTCAGTGATGCCAACCTCTCCACACACCCTGCCATCACCGATTGCTCAGGCCGCAGACACAGAGGCAGTTTCGTTCAGTGGGTTCTGGAACCAGTCTGTATCCTCCATGAACCAGCTGCTTTATTTAAGTAAGTAAATGACTTAATCTTGCCTGCCTCAGTTTCCTCATCTAGCATTATGGTGAGGATTAAACCAATGAAGTTTTTATAAATTAATGCCCTCCATGTGGTAAACATGAAATTTAGCTTTCAACCTTGCCAGTCCCCGCTCCCAGCTTGTTTTCCTCACTCTCCCATTCTATTCCTATTCATCAGGAGCCACATGGGACCGCATCTGCACTTAGTCTCTCTGGAATGGGTTATGGAATCAGCTGCTGTGATTGAACTCTGCTGCCTGTCCACATGGCGGAGGCCCAGGGCCACTCACCAAAGGCAAAACACTCTTTCCATTGCTGCTTCTCTCTCTGTGCCCTTAGCCGGGACCCTTTTACTTCACTCTGCTGGGGAACCCCATTTTCCAACTCATGTCACTCTACAGCCAAATCCCTCATCTGTGAAGACACAACCAAGAGAACATTCTTTAGCCTGAAGCTTTGAGGACATCACAGAAGGGACCCTCAGGCCTTCTCTCTGGCATCTTGAACACGGTGGAAGGAACCTGTTACCGCAGGGTCGAACACAAGATGTAAAACTCCTGTTTCCTCATGGCTTTGTCCCCTGCCAGGAAGAAGCAACATGATGAGCAAAAGCAGGACAAAAGAAAGCAAGAAACTAAGCAATAGGTTTAGCAAATAAAAATATCGCATGGGACATAAACCTAAAAACGTTTTGTTGTTTATCTGAAATTTAGATGTAACTGGGCCTCCTGTCTTTTTTTTTTTTTTTTTTTTAGGATTTTTATTTATTTATTCATGAGAGAGAGAGAGAGGCAGAGGGAGAAGCAGGCTCCATGCAGGGAGCCCAACGTGGGACTTGATCCGGGGTCTCCAGGATCAGGCCCTGGGCTGAAGGCTGCACTAAACCACTGAGCCACCCGGGCTGTCCAGCCTCCTGTCTTTTATCCACAACTCCACCACAGCATACCCTTGGTAGCCTCACAGATGTTTTCGTGGCACATGTAAAGGATGAAAGAGCCTGTGAGAAAATGTGAACTGTAACAGTACATTAAAGCCTCATTTGATTTCTTTGGGAAACAAGATAGGCAGGAAAACACTGAGCAGAGCCTGGATAGAGCAGGAACATTTGGAAGCACAAGGACAGCATGTCCACAGACAGGCAGCACTTGGCCTTGGGTTTCTTCACGGTGAGAGGTTCCACGGTTTGTGTTTCTAATCCTTGCCCATGGAGCCCTGCCCTGCCCAAGGGACGGGTGCTGGCCTCTGCCTCCACTCCCCCCAAGTCCCACAGACGAACCTCTGAGATGCAGAACTCAGCATCCCTTTCCAGAACTTCAGTTTGGAAACAGGGTAAACTCATGCTAGTGTCAAGGTCACGATCAGACCCATTTCTTGTGTTTCTGAAAGGTGTCAAAGAGTTCAAGCCCAAAAGCTTTCACTACAGAGGAAAGGAGATGATGAAAAGTCTGCAGAGCATTCTGTAGAACACATCAGGTGGGGCCTTCCCTCCATCCTAGATAGACGGCATGTGGTAATATCAAGCAGCCTGCACTCTGCCTTCAGCCTCATTTCTTCTGAACATTACAAATCACCAGGCTCTCGATTAGAGAAAACTGGGGTTGTTTTCTCTTATAAATGGGTTCATTTTTGTACATTCAGTTTTCCCCTGCAACCAGCATCTTCTGCCATTTTCCATGTATACTATCAAAGCTAGATTGTGTGTCTTATAAAATAATTGAGGTCTGAGATGAGAAACCGGGGTGTGTTGGCAGGCCTGAGAGCAGATCAAAGCTGAGTGTGGAAAGGGCTTTGCAGAGGGGGCTCCATCAGTGGAAGAGCCGAGGACCGTCGACAGCTAAATTTGCCCCACGCTCCCCGAACATATCCTAAATGTCCACACTCAGATCGTTCCTGTTATTTCTTATCATCTACAGGTACTATGGAGAGACAGACTTGTCCTACCGAGAACTAATAGGAGCTCACATGTCTGATCTCCTTTCAGAATTAATTTTGATGTGAGCTGCTGCGAGTCCCCAGCAGGAAAGAAGAAACACAGACAAGGAAGTGGTTTTCAAAAATAAAGAAACGTCAGAGTCCAAGTTTGGTGCCCGGGTAACAGGTCTCTGAGTCATCCACAAAGCATTTTCTGAAACACCTCTTACGTGTCCAGCTCTTAGATTCTTGGTTTATTCACTTAGCAAGTATTTCTTGAGCACCTACTATGCTTCCTACTATTACATTGAGGGCTGAAGGCTGAAAAAAATGCTATTTGGAAGTATTCTTGTGGAAAGAAAAAATGAAGGGACAGGGCCTTCTTACTAGCCTGTAATTCATTTAGATTTCATCCAAAAGTCATCAGTGACTGATGCCAGGCAAGAGAGTAAATCTCAATGCTAGAGAAGACTTTAGAGAAAAATGATCACTGGAGACAGGAGATCAATGGAGACTGGAGTCACTGGAGAGAGAGGGAAAAAAAAAGCGAGTTAAAGAATATCTCATGGGGATCCCTGGGTGGTGCAGCAGTTTGGTGCCTGCCTTTGGCCCAGGGCGCGATCCTGGAGACCCGGGATCGAATCCCACGTCGGGCTCCCGGTGCATGGAGCCTGCTTCTCTATCTGCCTATGTCTCTGCCTCTCTCTCTCTCTGTGACTATCATAAATAAATAAAAATTTAAAAAAAAATTTTAAAAAAGAATATCTCATGGATGTAGATCCCACCTTGGACCTGGAAAAGTTTTAGATAAGTGGCTAAGTGGAGTGAAGGTACGGGGTTGGGCAGGTGAACAGTAATGGACATGACCTCTCTGACAGGTGTAGCGTGCCTGGGGAGCAGGGGCCAAGAATGCCATCGATGGACCTGCAAGATGCTTAGAACAGGAAGGGGCCTTCAGGTACTCTGGACCATTGCTCCTCAATGTGTGGTCCGTGGACCAGCAGCATCAGCATCACCTGGAAGCTTGCTAGAAATGTGCAAAATGTGAGGCTCCATTCCAAACTTGCTGAATCTGCATTTTAACAAGATGCGCAGATAGGTGTGCATGTCAAACTTTGTGAAGCCCTGATGTAGTCCAGACCTCCCACTTTAGGGATGAGAGACTAGAATTTACCCGGTTCCCATCTTTGCGTGCATGTGTACATCCATGTGTGACGCAGAATTTGCTTTTAACTGTTAGTTTCAATAACTAACCTGGAGGTGTGTAACATCTGTAGCCAAATATGCAGTTCTTACAGAGGGCAGCCAGCATGGTTTTTAGCTCAAATAGAAGGAAGTTAAAACTTGGTGACTTTGCAGATTTATGCATCTATTGAAAAAACTAGTTTGGTGGATTTGAGTACTGATTTCAGCTTTCTAAAAGATTAAATTAGGGCAGCCCGGGTGGCTCAGTGGTTTAGCGCCGCCTTCAGCCCAGGGCCTGATCCCGGAGACCCGGGATCGAGTCCCACGTCAGGCTCCCTGCATGGAGCCTGCTTCTCCCTTTGTCTGTGTCTCTGCCTCTCTCTCTCCCTGTATCTCTCATGAATAAATAAAATAAAATCTTTAAAAAAGTAAAAGATTAAATTACTCTGTTCTTGGATTACCCTTTGGATTAAGATCACTTATATGCAAGTAACTTGCCCTCTTCTACCCATGTGATATTGAGCAGGTTACTTAAGTGTCTGGGTGTAGTTGTATTATCAGTAAAGGATGATTTATGACTTCTCTTTTATAAGGTTGTGAGGAAGAAATGAGGTCATCAGTGGCATCTTGGAGTAGTTGTGGGTAAGAGGTGCCCTGGTCCCCCATTACCTCTGCCACCCCCAAAAGTACCCCTGAATTAAAATATAGGGGCAAAAACTGGGTACTTGCTATGTTGGTGTTCCCTATCACACCATATCACTGTCCCTAAGCATGTTCTGTATAGAAATTTTGGAGCTGCCAACATAGGTGTTTCTTGGGGTGCAGGCAGCTAGGCCTGTACAGCAGGATTCAGATGTTAGTGGTTGTGGTGATGATGGTATAGTATATCCATCACGTGTTGGATACTGGAGATACAATGGAGGGTAAAAGCTACCTCTGAAGTTTGGGTAAGATCCAAAAGACAGGGAGATGTTCCTCAAATAGCTTTGTAGTTCCAAGTGAGTCCCAGACAGGTGGCAGTGGCTCTCTGGCCTCTGCTCTGTCACCGCCTTACATTCAGAGCTTTAGCATCCCTTGGGTCAGCTGCTATGTGTGCCCAGCAGGAAGTAAACTTGGGTTTCCTCAGTCTCCAAACAAGGCTTCTGTGACCATCATGTGAGTCCTACAATTTGTTCCACTATTAGAATTCAGGTGTTGGCCTCTCTGAGCTCCACAATGCTTTGGCATCCCCACGGCTGAGTTAGTGAACATAGAATCTTTATGTTTGGGCTCAAGATCATGAGGACCCAAAGTGCCACATGGAGAATTAAATTTCACATTTGAAGAGGGCGCCACCTTTTTCTTTTCTTTTCTTTTTTTACTACACACACCTTTCACATGACCCCCTAGTAACATCCACAATGCATTTTTGTTTTTTGAGAGTATAAAGAGTCATAACAAAAATAGAAAATTGAATTGCCCAAATTACTATCACAAAGCATATATATATATATGTATATATATGTATATATATATAATACATTAAATCAGGACTGATAGCATATTTGTACACAATGAAACTCTTTTAATCCAGTGAGAACCACAAAAGATATGTTAAGTGATTAAAATGGGCTCAAAGTAATATTAATATAAGGGTTTTTCTTTTCTGAAGGATGAAAGTTATAGCAGTTTTTACACTAAATTTAGTTTCATATTTCTGTAAAATCTTACTGATAACAATCTAAGCTGGCTTCTTTATCCTGAAGAAGATTGAAGTATCATTGCCTCAGAAAAACATCACAAATATTTTTCTATTAAGAAAGATGCCAACATCACTTCTTGACAGGTGAAGTAAAGTGATTACACAGCTTTTTCTAGAGGTGAGATATTGGTATGGAATGTTGGAAAATGATATGTAGAAAAAGCAGAGATAATATTTCAGAATATACTTGGTTTTTATTATTCTCCAAAGCCACATCCTCCAAAGATCAGGGTTTGGCTACAGAAAGGTCTGTGGAGTTCTGAGTATTTACAGCAAATTGTAAGAGCTTAATGTATTCCTCTCACAAAAGTGAAGAAGCTGTGTGCACATTGCCTTCAGATTCCTCCCAATCACTTATAACTTCTGGCTTTGATGACATTAATATTAATGAAATGATAGATAATTTTGATACCAATCAGTGTTACAGCTCCAATTTCTCCCCCCACCCCCACTGCCCCCCAGGAAATGAGGTTTTCTTCATTTACAGAGATAAATATATTATGATCAAGACCGAGAATCTGTGACTCAAGGGAGGGGAATTAGAAGAGATGGTGATTTGCAGCCGTCACTGTAAGAACTGGCACATTAGGACATATATTTAATGGCTAATTTTTGAAGTCTTAGAACTCAGAGACTCTCTGCCAGTCCCCCTGTAAGCAGTGAAGGAACTCCTGCTGGAGTGTCCGCTAAAGCTGAGGGCACCTGGGAGGGGCAGTGGTCAGGATGGGGTCAGGAATCCTGCTCCTCAGCTGGTAGGAGGATGAAAGGCTCCAAGGACTTCGTCCACGGAACCAGCTTTTTGATGATCCGGACCTGTCTCCACTGCCATGTAGAGATATCAAAAGTCACTGTAGTCTTCCAACTCTGAGCAAGATGATTTCTAAACTGTCTCAAAATGTCAATTTTTGGAAAAAAGATTGCATTAATTTAATTGACAGAGTGCACAAGCTGGAATGTGAGGCAGAGGGAGAAGGAGAAGCAGGCTCCCCACTGAGCAGGGAGCCCTATGTGGGCCTCGATCCCAGGATCCCGTGACCACGACCTGAGCCAAAGACAGACACAAACAACTGAGCCACCCAGGTGCCCCAAAATGGCAATTTTCATACCTTTTTCCTGGGTGATGCTTTGCCTCACAAGGTGAAGACTAAAAATGTCCTATTTGTACAAAGGATGTAGAAAGTCAACTAGATAATTTGATTCCCTCTTTGCTTTCGCAGCCATAAAAATCTCAAGGGCATATTGCATAACCTCTTGGACACAATACATATTAATGCACTATTTAAATGATGCATAATGTTTAATAGTTGGAATTGAATGATGTGATTTGAAGAAAGGACTAGATGGCTTTTAGAGATCCCTCCTGTCCTCCAATCCTTCACATTCTTGTGTAAAGCTGTGGCAACTGGAGACAGGTCCTTTATGTAATGTCAGGAGACTCCTGCACTTTTTACTTCTCTCTGTAACTAGAAACATCGGTTTGTACAAAACAGTAAAAATTACAATGTCCCAAAACATAGAGAAGCTATCGAGTTTGCCTTATACTGCTCTGGTTGGCCCTCACTTGGATTAGTGATTCTCAAACTTCCTCAGGAGGTGAGATATTTGAAAATCTCAGAGCACTTCTTGAAGTGAACATTATGAGATACTGAATTTAGGTAAATGTATGATTTTGGATTGAATCACAAATCATCTAACATAGATTCTCACGTAGAAATATAGTGAGTAGCAAATATTTTAAGGAATACTTAGGGAAGAAAACCTTAAAACCAGGAACGCTTGTGTGATAGCATCCTAAAAATTGGAAAAGAGCACAGTCATTTAGTTGAGCCAGAGGACAACTTGACCTAGTTATGGAACACCGGTATTCTTCAAGAATATAATTTTGAAGAGATGGTGTTAGCTATGATGATGGTTAGATAACCAAGGATCTTTGTGTTTGGCCGTTTGTGTGTGTGTGTGGGGGGGCGTGTCTTGTTTTGTTTTTGCTTTTGCCACTTAACATATTGACCTTCAGGATCACACAGCAAATCCTACCTGCTTTCTCATTCTCTGTTCTGGCCTCTTTTAGCAAAGCTGCTTTTCGGGTTTCTCTAGCTCATTAACTACCTTGTTACTCTGGACAGTACCCCAGAGGTATTAGTTGGCGCTTTTCCCCAGTTGAACCTCATATTTTTCTCCCTAGCACATTTTCTTTATCCACGCAAATCTTTTGCTATCATTTTCTGTCCTTATGGATGTCTAGAATACTTCCTTCATTTGTCTCACCACTAGTTAGGGTACTGTTTACTCCCTTCTACTGATCATTAGTGAACTCACAGAAGGTTCAGGATCACCAGGGGAATTTCTCTTCTGGTTATTTGTATTCAGAACCTCAATATTCTCAGAGGGACCAGTACCTAGAGACCTATATTGTTTTAAGACAGAGCAAGAGTTCAATCCACTTTGAGTCCGTTTTTGAAGAAACATTTCATGAAATACTTCTCTATGTGAATCAGGTAAGAAACTCACGTCGCATTCAAACAGTCCTCTGCATTTCCATCTCGGGCATTTTATCAGAAGTGTTCTCTCTGCAGATTATCCAACACGTTCTCATCACAGCATCTTTGTACAAGGTTCATGTTGATGGACTAGCTGTTTGCAAAATCCTGTTGGTGGTGTTGCAAAATCCTGTCGGTGTCCAGGTGGGTCCTTCTTCCACCCCCATTCTCCTAGGATCTTCAGGCAGAAGGATCATGAGCCCTGTGCCCCTGAAGGGAAGCTCTTCTTCCTTTGCCGGAAGCCCTTCCTCGTCTGCACAGCCTTTCTGGGCTTTCCTTGCATTCAGCTCGGCAGATGCCATCTGCCTTTTTCTATAAGTAGTCACCGCCATCCCTCTTCTCTCCTCCCCAAACTCATGCTCAGAGGGGGATGTTCTCGCTCCCTCCAAACAGACACACCAGCATTTGTTAGTGTTTTGCTGTCACATGGCCCAATAGCCAGTGTAATATAAACAATACACCTGAGGAATTTATAGGGATTACAGGACCCTACAACATGATGAGATTGTAAATGGAAATCCCATTAGCTCTGTCACAGGCTATTTCATTTCCAAGAATATGGTCCACCCTTGCTCCCCTCCTGCCCTACAACCAGCAAGAGCACACTGATCAATTCTTCATCATGGCCCTCTTCCCAGAACCATAGTCCTGACAGTTTAGCACAAAACCGCAAGCTTCGGCCAGTCTAAAATCTGTGGCTTATTTGCTTCTCAGAGGCATTCTGGATGGGAAAGATGGCCTGGCCTCTGCCTGGAACACTAACTCTCTCACTTCCCTGTCTTGCTCACCAACTATAGTAACTCGCACTGCCATTCTAACAGCTATTTCAAGATTTCAGGCAAGTTTTCCCTTCATTTGACTAGAAAGTAAGCTCATGGAGAATAGCTACTTGATCTTGTTCACTGTTGCATCCTGAACACCGAAGAAAGTGACTGGCAAGTACCTATCATGCCCCTTCTCTGTATAAGACGGTGAATGGATTGGTGGGCAAAAGGGAGGTATACAAAAATTATTTAGAAATATTAGACAGCATCCCATTAATCAAGGAGTCTATATAAGTGGAAGAATTGGAAGAAGGTTCTAA